GCCACTCTCCGAGCAATACATTTAAGGAATTCAACAAAATCCAGATGACACAAAAAACTACCTGCAACGGTATTCGTGTAGTGCCCATAAGAAATTGCAAAAATTTCTTCCTTTGCTCGAGATTAAACTCGAAGAAAACATCCCAAAAACAACGAACAGCCTCATGGTCGGCGTAATAAACACCTTTGTATTCGGTATTCTGCAAAGTCGAAAAAAAAAGCTGAATTCACTAAATGGAGTAATGCACTATTTGAGGTATGTTATCTTTTGATGTTTATGAGCCAATCTGTCTCTAAAAGTATCGCCAAGTCAACAATGTCAACGATTCTATGAAACTGACATTCGCCAAAATACAATTAATTGCTACTGAATAGTATGGGCAGTATTCAAGATCGATTAATAAACCTTTCTGAAGAGGCTCCAATCGTAGTTCTCATTGCCTATGACCATTTCCATCAGTTCCTGTGGTTGAAAGAACTGCAAAATACGCGAATGTATCACCATCCGGAAACCATCATCGAATGATTTCAACTGTTTTGCAATCTCACCGTCATTGCCTTCTTCCAGTCTCTTTGATATGTACAACTGAAGAGTGACACTTCTTAAATTCCTTCCACACAACAATAATAACCACAACACATCTATCTTAATCTTAAGCCGTCAGCGTATCAACAAACAGTATCTGACATACGAATGATCATTTGAATCAATGAAACATCATAAGAAATAACAATATTCTTGAAATTACACAATCAACATGACGAACAGAAAATAATAAGCAATGAAATATACCGCGAAATACATCAGACTGCTTCATAAACTCGTGTTTTTTTTAAAACTTGCTTTAATCTTTATTAATCAATGATCATTTTAATAACTGCAGTTGAGTCTTGTTCAGTGCCCACAACTAATGTCTTTTACTGTTTTATCACCGACAAAAATAAATGGCTTTTGACTTGACAAACCAACAGAGCGAGCAATAATAGGAAACATGAAGGAATGAATTCAAGAAGAGAATATAAATAAGCAAATGACATTCAACGAACATTAAAATACCTGCACGAATTCAGCCTTATTCTCCTGTGTCACTGCAATATCTTTTCCATTCTCCTTCAGCTCCACTTCCTTTGCATCACCGAGCAATGAAAGCGATATGACGAAACTCAAACCGAACACTTCTTCGAAATCATCTCCGTCATAATCCAAAATTGATTGCAACGATCTGACAAAATATATCCTCATAAGAAATACATTAAATTCACTAAACTAAAAACTAAAACAAAACGAAGTCCTCTGAAGCAATGATCAGTCTCCATAAAATTACTCGTTCAATAAACAATCATCGCGAATATCCTCACATCTCAGGATAAGGTTGATGAATTCTCACAATCAGTGAGAAATTTTGATAGAGATTCAAGTCATTCTTAACTGTTACTTCGCAAGTTCATTCAATCCCTTTACGATTCTTTCACCTAAGCCATGATGGACTCTGAACCTCTTACTGGAACGTTCCAGTCAATGACTTGCACCAACAATTCTTAATTCACCACTCTCAAAAACCTCCATCTTTGGAACATTCATACAACGCACATCTCAAAAAAATTGTATTGAGAATTACACGGAAAAGCTTTCATATGATCGACAACATATTGCGACAAATAAGAACTATGACAGACAGCATACCTTCCTTCAGCAGGACTTAGTTCACTGAGGTCTTCGAGGGTGAGCGGTTGTTGCAGAATTTTTTTGTAGAGTGCGCACGGAAATGGAAAATCCACTAAGACGTTGTTGTAGATGGCCAATGCACACAGAATACCAATCAATTTGAAACTCAACTGATCAGTTTCTATGCCCGAAAACCAGATCAGATGCGACTGTTCATCTTCGGCGAACATTCCATAACTGAAACAAGACATGATGGCTCAGTAGAATGTTCGATCGCATACGACTGCTTTGATTGAGACATGATAAATATCTGTGGCCGACTATCCATCGAAATGTTGTTCATTAGGAATCTGGTTGAATGAACGTATTGAAATGAAACAATCAGTGTTAGCAATGAGTTAACAAAGCTTTTTTTTTTCTTTGAAACGAATATGAGCACAACGACGAACGTCGGTTGAAGAAGTTCCTGGAAAAGAAGCATGAAGAACTCTTTCTTGACACCGCCTGCATCATCTCCTTCTTCTCCACGGAACATCACCTCAAATCAATTTCGCACTTTCATCACTCTCAACTCAAATTCTCCACGAAAGTTTCTGCACTATGTGCTTCTCAAAACGTCCGGATGGTACTAACTAATGCTCTCACTGTTTGATATGGAAATCGCATGTCGTCAGCGAAAATGGCCGTTCGGCAAACTGTCGAAACACCCAATTACTTGCCGCATGTGAATTGAAAATACAAAATAGCGTCAGCTTATCCACTAACCTTGAGTGGTTTCTTCAAGTCGATGCTTTTCGAGGACAACAACGCCACCATAGCATCGTCAACGATATTCTCTCTGGAGACACTGATCACAAAGAATGGATCTGGTTGAAAGACCATTTGAAACGGCACTATCACTGTTGCACCAGCCGTCATTGACAACTGCAAGCTCACATTCGACTAATACTTCACACATTATCCATTCTATCCAATCCTTTACCTTTACGTAAAGATTATTCTTAGATGTAGAAGATGCCTAACATTCTGTGAACCGCTCACGTCTAACGTTAAATCTCATCAACTTACGTGCATCTGAATTTGCGCTTCCAAATGCAGAAGCATCGATTTCACATCGGCGTCCATCAGGAATGGATAATTCGACCATGCAAACACACCGTGTGTTTCCTGCAAACGCAACAACATCTAAGCCCTATCTCCTCAGCTCAACGATGAGAAATGTACTGCTTTAGCGTGAAAAAAAAAAAACTTCAAAAAGAATATACAACTAACGTACACCAAACGCCCATCTCACGTAATCATTCGCAATATCAATTTTCTCCTTCATGCAATGCAAATAAAATTTATCCAGTGCAATCTTCTTGTATTCCGTATTGATTGTGTTCAGAGTTGTCAGTGTTTGACACAGCGATAGAGCGCAATTTTCATTTTTCGCATCCTCGACGACCACTTCATTAAGCGCCGACACTAACGACGTGACTAGACGATTGAAGTGGCGAGGTTTCAACGCACTCCACCACCGTTCTGTAATCTATCAACCGCAATCAGACCAGACATATTCCACCCGAAAACGCACCTCACATAACTTTTTCATCAATAAAATGATCGATTGTATAACTCACTTATTGAAAAAAGCGTTTGCTGAGGAAGCATTCATTTTTTTAACGGAATTATACAAGATCGAAGTCAAAACAGCTACAAACCCCGATGACATGAACAAATCAAAAGCGAACCCAATATGGAACGACTGGACTGGCTGAGAAGGTGAACGGCACGAACAAAAGGCAGATGAAGTGTTTTTGCGAGTGCTATTGAAGGTGATGCAAAAAAATACAGCGAAGGAATAATGAGAAATATTCGTAACGATTCAATGGGTTGTTCACGTTCCCATTCCACATCCCACACACCCGACATCTCTAAGGCGTTCAGAATCTAGAAATTACTCTCAATGAAGCGTGAAACGACGAACATGACACTTATTCCAACAAAAACTTCATTTTGAGACATCATCGATACTATCATTATAAAATTCTCCAACCCATAAATCTGCACAGATCACAGGATTATTTTGATGAGAACCATCTCAAGTATACTCCAACGGAATATATTCGAAATTTACACATTCCAAAAATCACTTCAGACGAATATACTTCAAATTTTCATCAACTTCTTCTGAATACACTAATGACCATGAACTGAAAAAAAACGTCGGAGTGTAATACTTACAAGTTCTTTGTATTGTTCACTATCACCATTTTCACCAATAATATTGGATGCCTTTACAAGATTGTCCATATTAATACAGCTATTCTGCGCATTACATCGAAATCGTCGTTCGTCATCGAACAAGAACGACCCGTTTAGGGTGGACAGCGATGAAAATGCTGTTTCTAATCGACTGAAACACTGATAATTGCAGTGAATCACCGATGCTACTCAGCTCCGTCCATTCAACTCTACGAAATTAACTCATTGCGCACTTCAACCTCCCCTAAAATTCTATCCTAACCTCTATCAATCCGCGAATCGTATGCAAACTTCAGAAGATGCTCAATGATAAACTCAAATACACGGTAATATTTCGCCATCCCGCATATCACCCACACATAAATAATAACCAACTGATCGCACTTTCTATAACCACATTACAGTAAAGAAATCTAATCATATGAATTTTTCAAAGCAGCCTATAGAA